AAACCTTAACTGACTGAGCCACCCAGGCACCCCCAAAATAAATAAACTTAAAAAAAAAAACATTATAAAAACACTTTTAAAAATTTCTTGGTGCAGTGTGTACTTGCTGAGAGAACCTAGTTCAGTTGCTTTAACCTCTCTGGTTATGAACTGAAGCCTCATTTCTCACCTCTTAACTTCTCCTACTCTGCTTCAGCTACAGTGCAAACACAGTTCCTCAAACATGCATTGAAAACAAAAGTATTGCCTCTGTGATTCAGAGTGTTCCCTTTGCAGTGACCCATTCTCCAAGTGCCCCTCAAGCTACTATATTCCCTTTTTTGGAGGGTCAATTGTGGCTTTTCCTGCAGAACTCCGCTCAGATGTCTCTTCCTCTATGAAGTCTTCCCTGGCCATTCAGCTTGCTGTGGCTCCCAGGGAAACATGAATTATCTTTGCTGTAGCTATGCATCGACGTCTGGAGATTCTCCCTTACCTCCCCGCCAACTCGACTCTGAGCCTTGTTTGGGACTGCAGCTTCAGTGCCAGGCGCTTCACAGATGTTCTGTAAATGAGGTTGAATATCACCGAAACTTTGTCAGCTTTAAATGGTTAGACAAATGCACAGGGTAGGCATCAACGAATATTTGTTGGGAGGAATGGAGTGGAGTGAAATGGAATGCTGAAAATTTCCGATTTTAATATTTTTGGCAGCACTATCTTAAAAGCCCACAAGATGGCAGTGTTTCCACATGAGAAATGTGGCAGTCTGAATGAAATTAAATGTACCCCTATCTGGGTGCTGGAGGTTAATTTAAAGTGAATGTTGATATAGAAATAAGAGAAATTAAAACACAAACAAAACAAAAATAAATAAGAGAAATTGGTTGATTATATGATTGGTTGATTTAATTGAATAGGCAATGTGTGGACATGGCACAAAATTCAAAAAATGTAAATGCTCCTTCCCTCACGACTTCTCTTCCAGCTCCATTTTGTCCACTCCAAAGGCAACTATTTTTACTGTCCTTTAAGAGATATTCTAAACATTTAAGCACATAAACATATATATCTAGTTTTTTTTTCTTTCTTTTTAAGTAGGCTTTATGCCCAGCATGGAGCCCAATGTAGAGCTTGAACTCATGACCTTGAGATCAAGACCTGAGCTGAGATCAGGAGTCGGATGCTTAACTGACTGAGACACTCAGGTGCCCTTATATCTAGTTTTCAAATAACACTAATAGTTACAACTATCCAGTGCCTTTTTTTTTCTACTTAAAACACCTCAGAGTATTCCATATTAAAAGAGATAGGCTTCCTCCATTAAAAATATATTCCATAATTTAGCTGCACCTTAATGTATTTAATCAAACTCATATTAATGGATATTCTGCCTGTTTCCAATGAGGAATGTTTGAGATATTTCTCTTGCCTCTTGCTATTACAAATATCTCAAAACATTCCTCATCTTACACATGTGTAAGTATATCTATATTTTAAATTCCAATATTTGATATTGTTGCTCAACTAGTCCTTTGTTGAGGTTGTACCCATTTACATTCCTACCAACAGTGAGTGTCTTTTACTTCACAAACTTGCAACAGATATTATATACTATATATGTATACACACTTAAGTAATATTTATGCTTAGAATATATTCTAAAACAAAATATATATATTTAAGCAAATATATTTGCCAATCTAATAGGTGAATTGTATCTTATAGTTTTGTGGGGTTTTTTCTTTCTTTCTTTCTTTCTTTTTTTTTTAAGCAATCTCTACACCCGGTGTTGGGGCTTGAACTCACAATCCCCAGAGCAAGAGTTGCACACTCTACCAAGTGAGCAAGCCAGACACCTCTTATCTTACAGTTTTAAAAAAATTTATTTTAAAGGGAGAAAGAGTGTTCATGAGTAGAGGAGAGGGGTGGAAAGAGAGAGAGAGAATCTTAAGCAAGCTTCAGGCTCAGCGCAGAGCCCAGCACAGGGCTCGATCTCACGACCCTGGGATCATGACCTGAGACAAAATCAAGAGTTGGACCTTCAGCCAACTGAGCCACCCAGGCACCCCTACAATTTCCTTATTCATTGTTTCAATAAACATTTTTTTGTTTCTTTTTGCTTATAACAGATTTTTAAAAGTTAATCACTTGTTAGTTTTTGTTGTTGTTTTAAATATTTTATCTTTAAGTAATCTGCATCCAGTGAGGGATTTGAACTCACAACTCCAAGAACAAGAGTTGCATGTTCTACCAACTGAGCCAGTCAGGTGCCCTGGTTGTTTCCAATTTTTAACTATCACAAATAAAATATTCATGACCAAGTCTTCATATGGACATAGGTTTCTATTTCTCTTGGGTAAATACCTAGAAGTAGAATGGCTGGATCCCATGGTAAATGTATCTTTAACTTTTAAGGAGACTGACAAACTGTTTTCTATAGTCATTCTACCATTTTACATTCCTATTAGCAGTATATGAGCATTCCAGTTGCTCTATATTTTCACCAATATTTGGTATAGTCAGTCTTTTAATTTTAGAGATTCTAATAGATATGTAATGGTAACTTACTGTGGTTTTAATTTTCATTTTCCTAATGGGTAATGGTATTAAGGGTCTTTTCATGTATTTGTTTCACTTTGGTGAAGTATCTATTCAAATACTTTTCCCACTTAAAAAAATTGAATCATGGGGCGCCTGGGTGGCTTAGTCGGTTAAGCGTCCGACTTTCGCTTGGGTCATGATCTCGCGGTTCGTGGGTTCGAGCCCCGCGTCGGGCTCTGTGCTGACTGCCAGCTCAGAGCCTGGAGCCTGTTTCAGTTCTGTGACTCCCTCTCTCTCTGACCCTCCCCTGCTCACGCTGTCTCTCTCTCTCTCCTAGAAATAAATAAAACATTAAAAAAAATTAAAAAAAAATTGAATCATTTTCTTATTATTGTATTGAGTTTTGAGAATCTTTTTTAATATACTTTGGTACAAGTCTTTCATTGGAGATATGATTTACAAATATTTTCTCCCCTGCATGGCTTCTCTGTTCATTTTTTTAACAGTGGCTTTTGAGGAGCAAACGTTCTCAATTTTGACAAAGTAAGATTTTATATTTTTATTTTTTAATGTTTTATTTATTTCTGAGAGAGAGAGAGAGACAGAGTGAGCAGGGGAGGGTCAGAGAGAGAAGGAGACACAGAATCTGAAATAGGCTCCAGGCTCTGAGCTACCCGTCAGCACAGAGCCCGACTCGGGGCTCGAACACATGAACCATAAGATCATGACCAGGGCCAGAGTCGGACGCTCAACCAACTGAGCCACCCAGAAACCCCAGATTTTATCTTTTTAAAAATGGATCATGTTTCCGGTATTGTATCTAAGAAATCTTTGGGGCGCCTGGGTGGCTCAGTTGGTTAAATGTCCGACATCGATTTAGGTCATGATCTCACGGTTTGTGAGTTTGGCCCCGCGTCGGGCTCTGTGCTGACAGCTCAGAATCTGGAGGCTTCTTTGGATTCTGTGTCTCCTCTTTCTGCCTCTCCCCCACTTGTGCTCTGTCTCTTTTTCTCAAAAAATAAATAAATGTAAAACAATTTAAAAAAATCTTTGCCTTACTGTATATTAGAAAGATTTTCTTCACGTTTTATTCTAGAAGTTTTAGAGTTTAGGTTTTACATTTAAGTCTATAATCCATTCTGAGATGATTTTTGTTTATGGTGTAAGATGCGGATCAGTATAGCTTTAATTTGTACATTTCTCATCATGGGTGTAGTTGAGAATATTTTCGTGTTTAAATACAACTTGTATTTTTTTTTTCTTGTGAGCTCTTTGGTCAAGTCCTTTGCTCAATGCTGCTAAGTATGGATATGCAGTCCATGGAAGTGGAAGCCAAAATCTACCAGTGCACTGTTCACCTAGTTGTGCACACTGCGCGAGCCCCTTTTCCCCTCCCCCCCTTCCCTCCTCTCCCCTCTACTCTCCTTGAGAGCACACTGCATGCACAGAGCACGAGCGTGCAAGGGTCAGAGGAAGATGGAGAGAGAGAATCTTAAGCAGGCTCCACATCCAGCACGGAGCCCAACTTCGTGATATCATGACCTGAACCAAAATCAAGTCGGATGCTTAACCAACCTAGCCACCGAGAGACCCCATGCGGGCTCCTTTTTCTAATCCATCCTCAGGGAGACTTTTTTACTTTGCATAAAGGCACAACATAAGCTAGCATAGGCATTGCCCTCGTCCATTTATCTCTTGTATGGTCGGCCTTTTGCATATTTTATAGTTTTCTGTACTTCTCAGTCCTTCATCACTGTGGTGCAAATGTATTTTTCCCCCATATTGTCATTTAAATTTTTCAGTGTGTTTGCTGTTTTCCCATCAGAATTACTTTTTTGTAGAGTCAAATAGATCTAAACTTTCTATTGTGGGTTCAGAGTTTGTGTCACACCCAGAAAGTTTTCCTACTCTAGCTATTTTTTAAATTACTTTAGGTTTTCTCCTAACCCTAACCTTGCCTCGCTCCCCTCATGGATGTTATTTGTGAAGATCAAATGAGGGAATCAATGGAGAAATGCTTTGAGAATTACCCCGTGATTGCAAGTTGTGCAGTAAACTGAAGGGCTCTGGAAAGTGCCTGTTGTAAGGAGGGGCTGAGCTCTGCGTACTCACACCATCTTGTGACCCACCTGGTAATGGGCGCTCAGAGACTGCTCTTTTAGCTGAGACCAACCCTATGTTGGGAAGCACAAATATTCTAAGAATACAGGGAGGGTGAAGCTGTGCTAGTGAGTAGAGTGGCTAATAAGACAGGATGTCCTGGGAATCTCTTAAAATAAGAAGGTCAAAATGTTTTTGTTTTTGTTTTTAAGTTTAGTTTTATTTGTTTTGAGAGGGAGAGAGCAAAGCAGGGGAGGGAAAGAGAGGGAGGCAGAATTCTAAGCAGGCTCCTTCCTTTAACAGCTATTTGCTGAATGTCTTATTAAGGAAGCAGAAATGAGAAACTCCATCTCTGCCCTCAAGAAGTTGAGAGTAAAGTGCTCACTTCAGGAGTACATATACTAAAACTGGAATGATACAGAGAGGATTAGCATGGCCCCTGGGCAAGGGTGACATGCAGATTTATGAGCGCTCCATACTTTTATGAATGAAATTTTGCCATATACAATAACATGGATGGAACTAGAGAGTATTATGCTAAGCAAAAGAAGTCAGAGAAAGACAAATACCACATGATAGTATACTGTATGAGGAGTTTAAGAAACAAAACAAATAAAGCGAGGAGGAGGAAGAGAGGGAGGCAAATCAAGAAACAAGACTCTTAACTATAGAAAATAAACTGATGGTTACCAGAGGGGAGGTGGGTAGAGGGATGGTAAAATAAGTGATGGGGATTACGGCGTGCACTTGCTGAGATGAGCATTGGGCATTGTATGGAAGTGTTGTATTACTATGTCATACACCTGAAACTAATATTACACTGTATGGTAACTAACTGGAATTTACATAAAAACTTCAATGCGGCTGCCATTTCTTGAAGACCTAATGTGAGCCAGAGACAGTGGTGGTCTACATATTATCTCATTTAATACAGGCAATCCTCTTTTTAATGTTTTTTTGTTTGTTTTTATTTTTTGAGAGCAAGTGGTAGAGGTGCAGAGTGGGAAAGGTGCAGAGAGGGAGGGGAGAGAGGATCTGAAGCAGGCTCCACACTGACAGCAGAGAGCCCAACGTTGGGCAAAGGGCTCAAGCTCAGAAACCGTAAGATCATGCCTGAGCTGAAGTTGTACACTCAACCGACTGAGCCACCCCGGTGCTCCAGTATAATCAATCCTCTTGAAGGTAGGTAGTATTACCTTTGATAATGAAGAAATTAACAATGAGAACGGTAAGGGAGTTTGTCCAAGGTCACACATGTAGTAAATGCCAAGAGTCAAAATTGAAATCTAGGTCTGCCTGCACTCTAAAGCTTTATATTCATTTTGCCACAATAATAAGGTGGGAGTAATTCTTCTACTGAACAAATATTTATTGAGTAGCTCTTTTTGTTCCAGGCATTGTTCTGGGCGCTAGTAATGTAAAAGAGAAAAAACAAAGTCCCTGTTTCCTGGGGCTTACGTTCTACCACAGAAAGACCATAAACAAAAACAAAATTTCAGTATATCACGTGGTAAGTACTGTGAAGAAAAAGTAGGCAAGATGGCGGGGTTGGGGGTTGGAGAGGATAGCTATTTTAAATCGTCAGAGAAGGCTCTGATAATGTGAAGTTTGAGCAGAGACTTAAAGGAAAGGCAGGAGTAGTAAGAGAAGGGACTGGCATGAAAAAGGAGCTTCCTCCTTTGTCTGCCTGTGTGTAGAGTCCAGAAGAGAGGGGAAGAAATGAGGTTGCAGATATTGGGCTCCAAGTTAGAAGACCTGAGCGTTATTTACTGATTTATTGGCAATTTTTTGAACCCCTGAGTCTAAATTCCCTTTCCTGTAGACAGGAATAACATTCCCTGCTCAGCGCCCCACACGCAGCCGCCATGAGATGCAAACCCTTTGAAAATAAACAAGTGAGAAAGCAAGACTAGGAGTTAGCTCTTCAACTGAAAGGAAGGCTCTGTCGGAAAATAAAGAGAATTCCTATTACAGGTGAACCCAAGACATCTTTTTGAAAAGTTGTCCCAGGCTTTAAAGAGAAATAAGCATACGTTTCATAATAGGTTTCTGCTGAAGATCCCTATTTAACTTGCAGTAGTCAGAAACTGCGCCGCATATTTTAACTAAACTTGGCAGAAAGCTCTGGGATTCGAACTTTAATCAACACATCCCACAGAGGAATTTCCCTTCTTACCACGCCCCCTCACTCGAACTCCATTTCCCAACATGCCCCAGGCTCCTTTATGTTGGCAGTCATTGTGACGCAAGTTCCATAGCTTTGTGGGAAGTGTAGTTTATTTGTTCTCCAGCTGCCGAAAAAGCTAAGGCTGTGGACTACCACTCCCGTGAAGTAGTGCGGAATTCCACCGCGTTCGCGGCGTCTTCGAACGCGCCGCGGCAGCCATGTTGGACGCGGCCAGCCAGGGGCCGGCACCAGGGGGTTATCGAAGCAGCTGTCACGATGCTGGGGTCCCTGGTGTTGAGGAGAACAGCGCCGGCGCCGCAGCTCCTCCTCCGGCTGCTTAGGTCCCCATCGCTCCGGAGACATGGAAGTGCCTCCGGCCAGACTGTGACCACCGCGGGCCGCGGGGAGCCGCAGTGGCTGAGGGCGGCCGTCGGGGGGCGCCTTGCAACATCGCCGGCCTTCCTCACCCACGGAGGGGCAGCCACCTGGGGGCGCCAGGGAGAACGCACCGAGACCCAGTGCCTCGTAGCCGCAACACGGGGACGCCTTCCTAGCTCAGAAGAAACACTCCCGGGACAGGACAGCTGGAACGGGGTTCCCAACAGGGCTGGACTGAGCATGTGGGCCCTGGCCACGGCGCTAGTGGTTCACTGTTACAGCAAGAGCCCGTCCAACAAGGGTGATTATCGGGGCAGTCTGGGTTCGAGGAAGGCAGAGGTGGGAGGAGTGTCCTGAAGCCGTATCTTTCGAGGGTGGGTGTTGCTTATAGATTTATTTAGACCATCAGAGCTTCAGCCTTGGAGGAACCCAGACATCATCTGGTTACTGGAGCAGGGTGGTGAACTGGAGAGTTCAGTTGCCTTTCAGTTGTATAACTTCCCATCGTAGGTCAGCTCCCTTCTTTGGGCATTACTTTGTCCATCTGTACAATGGTCGCATTGGACAAACATGTAAAATTAGAGAATGGACCTTTTATGTGCTAATATTTTGCCTGGTGCAATTCCTCTCGTAAGAGGCTTCCGGGAAACCACGGTGTGTTCTAACGGCAACCACTGGGTAATTTAGAGGTTTTCCCCCTAAGGTGGCCTAAGAAAGGAAGTCAAGACTTGGTTTCAGTGCCAACTTTGCCACTGTGCACGCCTTGCTCCTCTCCAGCTTCATTTCCCCCCTTACACAGTAAAGAATGATCTCTCAGTACTCTTACAGTGCCGTTATTTTGACTCTTGGAGTTCAGCAGCCTGGGTCTTGCCCATCAGACTCCCTGGGGTTTTGCTGTGCCTGGTCTCAGGTGTGAAGTGATCTTGCCAGGCAACGCAGTTGGCAGGAGGATTAGGCAAGCTATACTTCTATAACTTTGAGCATTTTTTTTTTTAAATACCCTCTGTGAGCCTAATTTTGGGAGGTTTGGAATTCCTAACAGAACAGTCAGTTAAGGAGTCAGTGCAGGTAGTTACGCCTGTGGATCTAGTGAGTGGTCTGACAGTGTGTTGTTGGGGAATTCAAAGGCCAGTAGGGTCAGGAAAGCATTCCTGGGAGATTGGAGACCCCTGGAGGATGGGGAATTTGAGCTTGAGTTCTGTAGAATGAGGCAAGAGATGAAAAGGAGAGTGATACTGTGAGCTCCATGAGAGCAAGGAATGCAGCTTCCCTTTTTTTCAGGTTGATACCCGCCCCTTTCCCTGATATTTCACATCATTTGTTCACCATAGCATCTGGATCTTAGTACCCATTAAATGTGTCTTGAGTTGGATTCCGTTTCATGCAAAGGCTTCACGGATATGGGAGTCACAGGTCAGCATGATGTGTTTAGGGGTTTAGCAGGGTAGCCAGCCTGGTTGGAGGACAGGGCGTCTCTGGAATGAGGTGAGAGCAGATGGAGTGGGACCTGGGTATCAGGAGGGTTTGGAGGGTTTGGAGTTTCTCCTGTAGGCAGTGGAGAACCATGGAAGGTTCATGAGCAGGGAATGTCCTGAAGCCAGTATGTTTAGACGGATCAGGGGAGGTGTCCAAGGTCTTGCCTTAGGCTCCAGACTGGACTTTGTCTGTTACTTAGGCAATGACCATAACCATGATCACTTCCAACCTTCAGACTTTGCCAGCCTTCCCTATTCCCTGATTTGGAGTTAGAAGCTCAGGAACTGTACCCAGTAGGAGCCAGCAGGCCCTGGTTCTCAGCTCCTTCCTCATTCCTCCTGTGACCTTGCAGAAGCCACTTCTTTCTGCAGAGTGAGGGACGAGTGGATGCAGTGATCTCTGAGGGAGTTTTGTTCTCCTTCCAGCTGAGGGCTGCCTGAGCATTCTTGGATGTGTGCTTGGAGAACCACTGGGGAAGATAACCAGGAAAGACCTGACCCTAGAGCCTAGGTTAGCATGTGGGATGGAGACACTACATGTTTGACCTACAGATCTGGTTTGCATATTTATGATAAGGTGGCTGTCTTATCCCTGCTGTACAGATAAGGAAATTGAGGCTCAGGAGGTTAGGTGAGTTGGCCAGGTCATGTGGCAAGAAAGTGGCAGAATTGGGTTGGGAGCCCAGATTTGTCTGTCTCCAGATCCTGCTCTTCCCATCCTACTGCAGTGCCTCCTCAGTGTTTCACTGGGTGAGTCTTTTGACTAGACTGAGAACTCCCTGAGGCAGGGATGGCTCTGAGTTTTTCTACTATTCAACAATGGAGCTCGGAACTATGCTGGGCTCATAGGGTTGCCTGGGCACTTGGTATTGACTATTTGAAAAAATGGTGCCTCTACAGTTTTTTTTTTCTGAGTCAGGCAGTTTTTCCTTTGGCCACAAGGTGGTGCCAGTAGCCTGCCGGCTGCTCAGGCTACACCAGGCTTAGGTTAGGCTCAGGGTTGCTTTTCTGTTAGGTGGTTCCTAAGGAATTGCTTTGGGTCTCCTTTTGCTGATCTTGGCACCGAGGAGTTTGTAGATTTTTTGACCATCATTTCATCTCTTCAGCATCCCTGTGAGGCTGTCAGGGCAAGGATTTGAGGCTGTCAGGGCAAGTAAAGCATATGCCTCTACTTTATGGTCCTGGAAGCAGGGGTTGAGAAGGAAGGAGCTGCCACAGCACAGGGAGTAGGGGGCAGACTGTTGGAGCCAGGCCTCCTGACTCCTGGTCAACGCTCTTCTTAACTCTCAGAGGAGGCCACACCGTTGCCTGTTCCCATTCTGTTCCTGGTGCTGGGTTAGTGACTTGTGACACCAGGCTGAGAAGTTGGAATTGGGGGTAGAAGTGGGACAAGGTAGGGGGGATGATTAACAGTGACAGCCATGTGAAACATTAGAGCTTTCTAGCTAATGAAGAGTGAAGGG